TATGTGATGGCTTCATGTCTGACACAGCGTTCTGCATGCTGCCATGTACACTCACACAGAACAGCATGAAGCAGCAAAGATGGAGAAAGTATTCAGGGTGACTCGATAAGCAAGTGGTTAGGGCACAAATGTCGTCACCAGTCACCCCCAACGAAAATTAAAGGCAAAATGCCCCAAAGAATTAATGAAAGGTTCTAGATGATGTGGTATTAATGGCTTTCAGAGGTTAACGACTGCGTCTTCACAAATCTTCATAAAGCCACTTTTCCATCGTCTACCTGAGACAAACTTCAGTTATCTCTATTTTTGTCATTTCCACTGAGTCAGATCCGCTCAGCTTCAGTTTGATCGATATCATCTCAAGCAAAGCTAGTTTTCTGAAGATCTACAGAAATGGAGTTATCTGGTTTTGCAAATGAACTCTTCATTTTCACATATTACTGGTCAATATATGAAATGTGAGGCACAATGTTCCCTCCCTGGAATTGTTTTTCTGGCTGAAACCTTTATAAAAAGGTCCAGAGAGTGTTTTAAGTTCTGCCAGTTGATATGAGTGAATGTGAATACTGCAACATGAGGACCAGCTGAAAGGTTTACGATGCTGACTACCACTTCATCTGAACAATCTGAAACATCATGCCGCTGAACTGCTCTTCAGAGCACAAGAAATAGCATGTCAATGTCATTTAGGACAACGACTGCATCACAGAGTCTGTAACTTTGGGCCTGTTGAAGATACAGGAAGGTTTTCTGTCTCCTAGACACACAGGAATAACTCAGTGAAACCGGTCCAATGGGGTTCTGTTCCTCGGAGAAAACAAAATCTGGCACCAGTTCTTTAGCATTTGTACATTAACTGCACTCATCAAAAATGTCCTTCGCAGTTTCATAACTTTATAAATAATTACAACATCAATGGCAGTTGGAGGGAAGGATTTCTGAAGGTGTTGTTTTGTCCGGGGGCATTTTAATCTGCAAAATTAGAAGCTGCAATGGGCGTCGGAGGAGGTGTGAAGGCGACAGTGTGCTGAGAGCGGCTAGCGGTCTCGACGGATTGATGCTTTACTGGCAGCAAGTTGGGACAGCTTAGTGCAGATTGATGACAAACAGAAGTCGATGCTTGAATCACTATTTCCACAGATGAGCTCGCTGCCGCTACATGCTTCTTTGTTGTGTTTCATTAGGATAGTTTCCAGGTCCAGGACATGGTTTCCTGAGCCGCCCGCCCACCAACACATCACCAGGGTGACAACCAGTCCATCCCGGGCCATGACTGCTCTGCTTCCCAACGTCAGCGCTGCTCTGCTGCTGCCCACCGACTGCCCCTTCAACCTGACGGCAGCTGCTCAGGCGGGACTCAGCTCGGACCGGTCCCTGGCGCCGCTCTGTACTCTCTGCTGCTGTGGGTTTCTCAATCGCACCTTGGCAGTGGTGTTCATGGTCAGCCTGGCGTTTGCCATCGTGGTTGGAAATGTGGTCACGCTTACGGTCTTTGTACAAACGAGGCAGTCGAGAACACCGCAGGGATATTTGAAAGGTAAATGTCGGCCACCGTTTGACCACCAAGATCTTTATTTCATTTTAATACTGTGTTTGAGAAGATTAATGAAACTATTCTTTCAAGCGCAAATCAAATCATGTTCACTGTGAGAATGTTTCTATAAATGACATCATTGCTAAAGAAGAACTAATAATCAGTCTGTCAACACTCAACACTTCCTACGGCTTCATTTCTGAGACATAAGAACATCTAAGAAAGTTATTGCTGTACTGAACACTGTAAAAAAACAAAACAACCAAAAGCATATTTGAGCATTTTACCTGCATTTTTTTGTTGTTGTGAAATCTCCAGTTTTTTATAGCTCTTCCCTGCTTTGTTGAAATCCAGATGATAACTCATACAATCATTTCAAAAAGCACCATTTTACTTGTTGACAATAATAAAACAAACCTAAACTGTAATAAATGAATAATAGATTAATTTCTGGTTTCTAATGGAATTTTAGAGGTGTTTGATTGTAGCTTTACTACTAGTTCTGTACAAAAGGTTTTTATTGAGCTGAATGACAGATTATTATTTGTTATATCTTATTTTTTCATTATTCTTTAGGTCATACCAGCTTCCTTTACAAGCTTGTCATTTAAGGTGCTTCTATTGTTGACGGGGTTTTTACATTCACACAGCAGCTTTTTAATGGACTTTTGATGTTGTTCTGGTGCCGTCCATGTCAGATTTTCACCAGTTTTACAAGATATGTTTTTACAGTGTGTCTTAATACTGACAAGATGCAGGTATAGATTTAGTTCTCACCCATTTTTATTCTAAAACATTAATTCATTTAGTACGATATAAAATCTAAACAATGATGGCGTTTTAGACCATAGTGACCAGAACCAAGGCTAACCACGGCCCCTGTCTCTCCTCGGCTCCCTGACAGTGTCTCTGGCCATAGCAGACATGATGGTCGGTGTCCTCGTGGTTCCTTTCTCAGTCTACACTGAAATCTCTCTGATGGTGACCAGCGCTCCTCCCACGTGGTACCAGGGCACTTCCCCGGCCACCTCATCCCCCCTCGGTGGACCAGTGAGCCCTTGGCAGCCCTGCATGCTGATTGGTCCTGTGTTTGCTGGATGCACTTTTGTCTCCATCAGCACCATCTTCCTGATGACCCTGGAGCGAAGCGTGGCCATCCTGCGTCCGCTGCACAAGGACGCCTTGGTGACCCGAAGGCGAACGCTGCTCCTCATCCTGCTCTCCTGGGCTGCCAGCTTCCTGCTGGCTCTCGCTCCACTCATCTTCAGCAGAAACTTCACTTTGGAGTACAATGAGTGCAGCCGTATGTGTAACTACAGCCCGCTACTGTTTGGGAGGCAGCTGCCACCCGACGCCAACATCTTGCTCTTATTCCCAGCGTTTGACTTCACTCTGCTCGGTGGCACTTTAGCAGTTAACATTGTGTCTTTCACCAGCATCCGACGGTACTCTCGAAAACGCAAACTGCTCTCAGAGGGGAGTGTGAGTGATGCAGGAGGAGCTGGAGGAGGAGGAGGAGGAGGATGCCCTCACAGACCCTCCTTCTCAGACATCAAAGCTGCCAAGACAATCGGCATATTAACATTCGCATTCACAGCATCTTTCTCCCCCATCGCAGTGTTTGTGCTCGGGAACGTGGTGGGATACACCTGGTGTAATTTTTCCTTTTTTGCCTTCTGGATTCTGACAGGAAACAGTTGCTGTAATGTGATTATCTACAGCGTCAGGGACCACCGCTTCAGGAAGGGCGTGACGCTGCTCTTTCAGCGAGACCAGTCCCCTCCACATGGTGAGAAGACCTGAGGGGTGTGCTATGAAGCCAGATTATTGGTTAGTGAAGTAAGTTGAGCCTAAAAAGCCACTGAGGTGACTCTGTTTCCACCTGCTAGATCACCATGGTAACAGATGCTGCACAGCTAACCTGCTCAGTTTGTTTTCCTGACGATTCTCGATCCTGATTCTCACTTGAGGGAATACTTTAAATATGCAAACTTGGTGAGCTGTGTGTTGCCAAAGCCACCGAATGAAGCTGTGCAACTACAGCAGTGTTGTGTTGCCATGGAGACTGACATGTATTTAGTCGATGATACAAAAAATGCATAAAAGTGTTTTACTACTTGGACACGATTTACTATCGAGTCCATTTTCCACTGCTGGTGCTGCAGCTCATAGGACGTAGATTAGAAAGCCGATCGGTCTACTGGCATTTATCGTCAAGATTAGTCCGGAAATCGAGCCGATGTCCTGCATTGTGGGACGACGCAGGCCAAAATGCACTTCTCAACATTATGTTTATTGAGGTCTGATGTTTCAGAGCTCTCACATGCAGGTGTCATGCTGGACATGAGCAGAGTGGTAAAATCAATAGAGTTACACACACCATCAACACTCATTTGCAGTAACAGCACTTTCAAGCTCAACAAATTTTTCGATTCCTCGTAGCTGCTCATCATAACGAGCTGTTCCTCTTGACTAAAGTAGGCAGCATGCGACCGGGCCATTTGGTTCAGAAGAAGAATCTGGTCTAAGTTTCCACAAAGAAAGACCTGCTTCATGGTTCACCCCTCCGGAGGGCAGATGCAGTCATTCAGCATGTTTTGTGGCTGCAGCTCAAAGTTTGGCTTGGAATGGTTAAACATGTTGAGAAATATGCTGAATCACTTTCTTCCTGAGAAGACAGATGCTCCCCTCAGTTTAGCCTAGCTTAGCTTTGCTTAGCATGAAGACCAGGTTTAGGGACACAGCTAGTCTGGTTTTGTCCAATGGGAAACAACATCTACTTCAAGCACCCCTGAAGTTTGTTCGTTTGTGTGTAAAAACTGAAAAGCAAAAACAAGAAAGTGCAGTTTCAGATTATTTCTCAGCCTGGAGCAGTTGCCAGGTAACCAGTCTGGACGGTTGCTAGTCTGACTCCCAGGTATGCACAGGCTTCATACTGAGGATAGACCGATATGGTTTTTTGAGGGCCGATACCGATTATTATTAGTCAATCAGGCCGATAACCGATGTTTCAGAGCCGATATTCACTTGCAGTAAAAATGAATATATTGGTGTCAAAATTTGGAGTAATACAAACTCCAACACTAAACTTTCTTTAATGCCCTTCAGCATATGTTTATTAAACACTGTAGAAAAAAGAACATCTTTATTTTAAAATGATAACAAGAAATGCAGGAAGCTCCCAGGCTCAGCAGCACGTCTTTTAAAATGAAAACTTAAACAAATAAATAGCTCCTGAAAGTTTGCTAAAGTTAATCACGTTTCCCAAAACTTCAATATAAATGTCATTTTAATTCCAACAATAACAAAACAGGAAGCTCCCAGGGTGAGCAGCACGTCTTATAAATTTAACTGAACATCTAAATAAATAAAAACAGCTTCCTGAAGTTTTATCAAGTGAATATAACAAAGTTCAATTGTGTGTAATACTTCCATACTGCACGTTTAAGTCTATCCAGCTGCAAAGAGTTTGAAAAAAAGAGAATTAAAAGTGGGGCATCATGCTGACATGTGCTTAACTCATCCAGCTTAACTTATTACAGCATTTGGGAAGCCTGTGGTTGGTTATTATGGATGATGTATGTATTTATTATGTACAACATGTGATAGCAGGGAGCCTGTCATTCAAAACTAGGCTGCTACATTACTAATGATGATTAATGTTACTACAGCTGGAAAAAATAGGACAATAGCAACAGGAGAGACTATTGATCCCTGAACACCAAGCAGTTCATGTGAGCTTTATAATGCAATGAAGCAACATGCTGCTCCTCTCTACAAGAAGCTATCAGAGACAGCTTCAGGACACACTTCATCCAGCAACGTCCTGTTCTGCTGCTTGGGATCTCACCATCAGCACAGGACGAGCTCAGACAACCTGGTCGTCCAACAGATATGACTGACCTGCAGGTTTCTCTCAGACGGTCCTTTGCTGTGAGCTTCTGCAGCTTTTCATGTGGCTTTCACACACACACACACACACACACACACACACACACACACACACACACACACACACACACACACGTGCTTCTCCTA